CGCAGCAGACGGTTAAGTGGGGCTCGTTTGTCCTGCAGCGATGATGGGAAGGCGCTATATTAGCTTATCAGACCAATGAACGATGGAAGTTGCAATAAATCCTTGGCTGCAGGCATCCGTTGGACGGCACGAATATTTTCGGAATCTGGATGGAAAACCGTGGCGTCAAAGATGAATCCGAGGTATTTGATGGACACGAGGAGAAATTGACACTTGTGGGCCAGAAATTGAAAGCCATACTCAAGCACGCGTTTAGGTACTGCACACACTCGGTTTTGAGCTCAGCTGGAGAGCGATCCGCGAGGATGATGTCGTCCAGGTACCCAGCCTTGCCAGGAATGCCGGAGAGCATTCCGTTCATTGTTTGCTAAAACAAGGCCGGAGTAGTCTTGACACCAAAGGCGTCAGTGTATTGTCTGGAGTGGACGACTTTGCTTCTTTGAGGTTTTGCAACTCTCTTTTTACTACAGTGAACGGAAATAATAGGGTTTCAAACACTGAGTCAGCATTTACAATAGCTGAAGCTCGGTTTCCCCAGTAAATACTGAGGCACAGAACCAGCCACCGTATTCGGCTTTTGAAAAAATTCTAAGTCATCAATATACTTAAGTTCTGCAATTGAATCCTTGTTTTTTAGTCGATTCTTAATATAGCCGAATAAAATTTTAGGCTTATCTTCAGCCTGTGGGATGATTCTTGATTCATAGTTTTCCTTGTCCGACCAATCAATTTCTGACAGCATTTCGTTGGCGATGAAATTCGACCAGACGTACTGGTGACCCAGTTTTCCTGAATAAACTTCATTTCTTATTTTTTATTTTTACTGTCTGTTATGGTTCCTTTTTAATCAGGCAAGGCGACGAGTCGTGTTTATTAACTCCGTCACGAAGACTTCTGTAGATTCGTCTGAATATGATCCTGTTGTTTGCACAAAGGAAAGCCTTGACGTGTCAGGGTTGCAAAGCGTCTAGTCGATGAAAATACACACAAAACGGAAAAAGTCCAAAGGTTGACAATTTCAAATCAAATTCGGAGTTTCTGGAACTTTCCTCGAGTGTTGATCAACAGTCAGTCCGTCAAACAGTCAGCATATTTGAGGAAAACATAGGCCTGCACCTTTGAACTCACTATTGTTAACATTTAAATCTGAGGAATTAGAGACAATTTTAACAAGTTTTTAGTCAGGAAAATATACACAATCACAACGTCCATTGTTATTTGAAGGTTAATTTGTCATATAGTTCACGTTGTGTTATAACATATAT